CCTTCTCCAATTTTCAGGGGGGGAGGGCGTGCACGAACTCATTGCAACTCGGGGTGCAAGAGACTTGCAGAGGGGGGACCCTTCTGGAATTTTCTAGGTGCATGCATGCACTCACTGCAACTCGGGGTGCGAGAGACTTGCAAAGGGGGGGGACCCTTCTGGAATTTTCTACGTGCATGCAGGCACTCTTTGCAACTCGGGGTGCAAGAGACTTGCAAAGAGGAAACCCTTCTCGAATTTTCTCCGGGGGGAGGGGAGAGGGAGGGCGTGCGTGTATGCTGTCATTGCAACTCGGGGTGCAAGAGACTTGCAGAGGGGGGACCCTTCTGGAATTTTCTACCTGCATGCATGCACCTTTTGCAAATCGGGGTGCAAAAGACTTGCAAAGGGGGGCGACCCTTCTCGAATTTTCAGGGGGGGAGGGCGTGCACGAACTCATTGCAACTCGGGGTGCAAGAGACTCGCAGAGGGAGGACCCTTCTGGAATTTTCTAGGTGCATGCATGCACTCTTTGCAACTCGGGGTGCAAGAGACTTGCAAACGGGGGGGACCCTTCTGGAATTTTCTACCTGCATGCATGCACTCACTGCAACTCGGGGTGCAAGAGACTTGCAAACGGGGGGGACCCTTCTGGAATTTTCTACCTGCATGCATGTACTCACTGCAACTCGGGGTGCAAGAGACTTGCAAACGGGGGGGCCCTTCTGGAATTTTCTACGTGCATGCATGCACTCAGTGCAACTTGGGGTGCAAGAGACTTGCAAAGTAGGGATCCTTCTCGAATTTTCTACGTGCATGCATGCACTCAGTGCAACTCGGGGTGCAAGAGACTTGCAAAGTAGGGATCCTTCTCGAATTTTCTACGTGCATGCATGCACTCATTGCAACTCGGGGTGCAAGAGACTTGCAAACGGGGGGACCCTTCTCAAATCCTTCTCGCTTTGCAAAAAAAAAACAAGCTCCAGCACCCAGCAGCGTTGGCAGTTCTTTTTGTTTTTGAGACGGAGGCTGGCTCTGTTCCCCAGGCGTAGGGAGTGCTCGGGGTCAGCTCCTCACGAGCAGCCTCCACCCTCCCTGCCTCCAGCCATCCTCCTGCCTCCAGCCTCCCTCCCGAGTAGTCTGTGGACTACAGGGGTGCTGTCCGCCACGTTTTCCCGTACTATTTTTTTTCTATATTATTTTCTAGTCTGTCCAATAATTTCCTATTTTTGTACCTAGATGACGTGTTCCCGCTCTTGCCTTCGAGGCTTGCCCCTTCTTGTTCAAACTCTCCGGACCCGTTATTTTTAGTTTGTTGTTGAGTGTAGCTGATGTTTTCTTCCGCCTCTTGGCCTTCCATGAGTCGTGACTCGACAGCCTTGAGCCAACCGTCTTTTTTTTTGTGTGATTTGTGTGTGGTATCTTGGACCTAGTTTCTTGCTATTTTTTTTGAATTTCGCCGTGCCTTGGTGGGTGTATTTTTTTGCCTTTTGGGCACAGCTCTACTCGCCGACACGCCGTGCGTTTCCTGTTTGGGAGTGGTCCCTCTTTAGTTTCCGACAGCCAATTGAGGACACTCTGCGTTTGACCTTCTCTATCTTGTGTTTTCTGCTCCTGTCTCTCGTCAGGCGTCTATCTATAGACCAGTGTCCCGAGGGCTTTGTACGGGTACGGTCTGGAGCGAGGTCCTTTCCAGTGTATGAAGGCCCAGGTGTCGTAAGGTTTCTTATGGGTCTCGATGCGCCCTTCCGATTTCATGTGGGTAAATTGTAATATCTTATGTGTGGCGGTACTGGGCCGTTTCGGAAGGCCCTCGACCCGTCGTCTATTGTTTGGATTTTTTTTTTTATTGTGTTTTAGGATTGGTTGTTTGGTTCTTCTCGTCCGTCTCAAGCACCTGTGTGTGTGAGGCCGAATCATTGCGCCGGGCTAGGATGCTCCGAGGGTTTCTATGTAGTGTCAAGCACCTAGCCTGTCCGTAGGCAAGAGCTGGGGAGACCGACAGTCTCAACCTAAGACAAAAATAGAAATTAACCTCGGACAACTACAAATATAACATGAGAAAACGACACGTTACCGGTTGTCGTGCATGATGCTGTAAATCCCTACCGGACTAGATGGGCAGGGCGCTGAGGCAAGGAGAATCGCTCGAGGTCAGGAGTTCAAAAGACCAGCCCTGAGCAAGAGCCGCGAGGCCACCGTCTCTACATAAAGTAGCGAAAGAAAGAATTGGCCGACTAAAACATAACTAGAAAAAAATGACCCGGCGTGGTATCCGGGCTCCGTTCCCTCTGTAGGTCCCAGCTACTCTGGGGGAGGCCCCGGAGGCTGTGGCAGGATGGTCTCCAATCCGACGTCAGCTGCGAGCTTCGAGCGCCGAGCCCGAGCAACGAGCGCGCGCGGCACCGTCCTCTACTTAACCAAAAAAGAGAAAAATAAGAAAGAAATTAGCCGGGACAGGACTAAAAAATATATAAGGAGACAAAATGAAGCCCCGGGGCTCGGTGGCGCGACGCCTGTACCCCAGGCTACTCGGAGGCGAGGCGAAGGTGGGAGGAATGGCTCAAATCGAGGTCCCAGCGAGTTTGGCAGGCGCACAGCCTGCAGCAACGAGTGAGGGACGCCCGTCAATCCTGCTAAAAAAATACATATAGTATATACGAGAAAGAAATGACTGGACGACTAAAATATAATACGAAAGGACACGACTGGGTGTGGAGGCGCATGCCTGGAGTCCCAGTACTCGGGAGGGAAGGCCGAGGCAGGAGGCTAGCTAGAGGCCAGAGTTGGAGGCTGCTGTGGAGCGAGGCTGACGCCACGGCACTCGAGCCAGGGCGGGACAGAGTGAGACTCTGTCTCAAAAAAAGAAAGAGGAAGGAAAGGAAGGGAGCCGGGCGCGGGCGCTCAGGCTGTGTGGACCCCACGACCGACTCTGCGGTGTGAGGCATGAATCAGCTGTGCTTTTTTGGCCCTCCGGGCTCGCGGCCGCGTGCACACGGGCAAGGGAACATGAACTCCACGGTCCCGGCCTTGGAAGACACACAGGGCAGGGCTGGCCACCTGGACTTAGCTTTCCTTTTCTCTCAAAAAAAATTTTTTTTTTGTCATTGAACTTGTTTTATGTTTTTTTTAGTATTTTTTTTTTAATTTTAGCGCATAGTGGGGGCACAGGAGTCAAGGCTGCGTGTATTGCTCCCGCCCCTCTGTTGCACTGCACTTTCAAATTTACAAAAATTAAAAAAAAAAAATGTCCCACCTGTGCTATAACTCGTTTGAGTTTAAAAATTGAAAAATAAAGAAGTCAAGAGAAAATTAAAAATTTTTTGAAAACATAAAATTAAAAAAAAATCTCCCACCTGTGCTATGACTTCTTTGAGTTTAAAAATTGAAAAATAAAGAAGAGAAAATTAAAAATTTTTATAAAAACATAAAATTAAAAAAACAAAATCTGCCACCTGTTCCATAACTTGTTCGACTTTGAAAGTTGAAAAATAACAATAGCAAGTTAAAAAAAAGTTTTATAAAAAAAAATTTTTTTAAATCTCCCACCTATTCTATAACTCATTTGAGTTTAAAAATTGAAAAATAAAGAAGTTA